CTTCCACTATTGAACAGCTCTTACTGTCAGGAAGTTCTTCCTAATGTTAAAGTGGAAGCAGAAAATAAGCTTGCTCCATCTTCCGTATGACATCTTTCCAATATTTAAACAGGGGTATTATGCTCCCTCTTAATCTTCTCTTATGCAGGGTAAATATACCAAGCTCCCTAAGGACGTTATCACACGGGGAGTCACGGGGAGAAAGTGGAAATAAACGGGCATGAACGGAAGTCTTTAATTTACGGGATTTGTCCCGTTCCTCCTTGTCTCCTAACTAAATTCGAATTTAAAAGGGGGTTAATTCGAACAAAAACCTGATCTTTTCATTTTCGGGATTTTTGAGGATTTGAAAAGATCAGGTTTTTGTTCGAATTAACCCCCTTTTAAATTCGAATTTAGTTATCAGACAAGGCAGAACGGGACAAATCCCATAAATTAAAGTCTTCTGCTCGTCCGGTTTATTTCCACTTTCTCCCTGCAACTCCCCGTGTGATAACGTCCTATGTCTCTCCCCAAAGGGCATTATGGTTTTCAGATCCTTCACCATTTTGGTCATCCAACTTATCCATATCTTTCTTGATTTGTGGTGTCCAGAACTTTTCATTTTCCAGTTCATATAGGCTTAGAAACTGGAAGAATTCCAGTTCATTTCTGCAGCCTTTTCTCTAAGATTTAAAGGTAACCCTTTATGTGTATCTATGTGTGTGCCTTCAAGTCGCCTGCCAACTTATGATAATCCCATGGATTTCAAACAGTTTTCTTAGGCAAGGAAGACTCAGAGGTGGGTCTGCCAGATCCTTCCTCTGAAATATAGCCTACAGGACCTAGAATTCATTGGTGCTCTCCCATCCAACTCAGGGCTGGCTCTCCTCAGCTTCCGGATCTGGTGCTTTTTATGGTTTTTATGTATTACTGATACAATATTATATTGATACAGAGATAGTGGAGAAACCAAAAGGAAGGAAAAGACATTACTTAAGCATCCATGGCCTTTCAAGCAAGTGTGTTCTAGAACCTGGAAGGCTGCAAATAATCACAAAGACTACATGTTTTGCTCTGACTAAAGTAATTGAAATATTAAAGTGAAAAGTTTCTACTCCTAACATCTTAAGAAACAGGTGAAGTCAGAAGCCAGAATGAGTCCTTTGAAGACTTAATAACATTTCTGACATTAGTCACCCTGGCAAATAAGTATACTGTATATCTACAGTGGGCCCTTGGGGTATCCACTGGGGTTTGATCCCAGGACCCCCCGTGGATACCAAAATCCATGGATGCACAAGTCCCATTAAATACAATGGGATAGTAAAATGGTGTCCTTTATATAAAATGGCAAAATCAAGACTTGGCTTTTGGAATTCAAATATTTTAAAAATATTTTCAAGCTGTGGATGCTTGAATGTGGATAAAAAAAA